GTTTGACCTTGCGCTTTATTTACGATCGTCGCATAACACACGCTGAGTGGGAAACACACTTAAAATTGGGATGTTAGATGATCATCGATGTTAAAAATTATAACTTCGATGTTTTAACATCGATGTTGACATATGTTAAACATCGAAACATCGACGTCAATGAACCCATAATCGATAATTGGGAACTTGCAAACAATGCGAACTCGCGAAATCAATATCAACTAAATCTTGCATCTGCTCTGAAGATTAAAAATTTTGAATAATTCAGAATTTCTGAACGCATCGTTAATCTAAAAAAATGTCAGTATGGTGAGTCAAACTTAATTGTCAAGTGTCTCCTGTAATGTCACAATGGTCACTGCTTTCGCTTTATTTTGTAGTGTCGTTGTCGGTTGTCGCATAATAACTATTCTACATAAATTGATATTCAAGTTAATTGTTACTTTTCCCTTGCTGTGTATACCCACATAATTTTAAAACAATGTGTAAGTATCTACACATATACAAAAACCATCGATAATGGTCAACATCGATGTTTTGAGTAGCCTAAACATCGAACATCGATGTTGAGCTAGCGATGCCAACATCGATGTTATTATCCCTATCTTAAAACTGAAGCCTGAGCCGTGGTAGCTCAGATGGTTAGCGCTCGCTGTAAGCTTCACAGTACTCGAGCAACCCGGGTTCGATCCCCGCCGGCACCAATGAAATTGTTAATTGCAATTTTAAGTGCTGATTTACCACGTGCTCGGCGGTGAAGGAAAACATCGTGAGGAAACCTGCATGTTTGAGAAATAAAAAAAAATATTTCGATGACATGTGAAGTTCGCCAACACGTATTGGGGCAGCGCGGTGGACATTTCCTTGCCCTAAAACCCTCTCAGAAATGAGAGGAGGCCTGTGCCCAGCAGTGGGACGTAAACAGGCTGCAACTCTACATTACTTTACTTAAAACTGAAAAAAAAGTTATTTGGTATTAGAGGGATTCTGGGTATAAAACAATATCACTATCACGACATTTCACCTGCGAAAAATCTTAACACCGCAATTCAGAAAAGGTTGTAATTTGTACAACGCCATCTATTACGTTCTTTGTGAGAAAACATCCTTTTTTAATTTAAGGAAAACAAATTTTTACTGTGTTTTAAGTACTATAATAGAACGATACGAAATATATTATAATAGAACGTTTTTTTTTACACACGAATCTTTTTATTACTATTTCTGGGATTTTGTGGCGCCATTAAATAAATTCGAACCTACATTTCAAAATAATAATCATGACTTTCGATAGAATTAACCAATTTCAATAAAACAAAGATTAAATGAACTTGATAATACGCTTTATGATTTTCTTAAGGATTTCATTGAAAAAAAGATGTTTACTCAAAACGTCATGCGTCCATAAACAAACAGACAGACCGTCAGATAGTACAATTCTAAAAATTATAAAAATGTACTTATTTAATGATTTACAGTCCCCATAATGATTTTAGTCGCAAATTAATATACTATACAATATTCAGAAACAGGCATAACATGTTATTACCATTTTTATTATATGTATAGATTTAAGAGAGATGGCGCTGTTAACATCAATTCTAAAAATAAGAGATTAATTCACACGATTGATACAATAAAAAACATAAAAGAACTTATAAATCAGTGCCTGCATAGTAAGCAAAAAAGAAAGATCCTCGCCGAAAAACGAAATTGTTAATAGCTCTTAAAATTTGATTTACCACATAGAGTACTCGGCGGTAAAAAAATAAAAAATAAATGAGATTGTCAACACGCAGTAGGACAGTGTGTCATTAATATAAAGGTTAGAAGCAAATATGAAACTCAACTACAGGAATAAATTTTAACCTGCCTTTTTGTATCACATTTATGCCACACCACCATCTATCGATGAAATTGGTTAACTATTGTACTTTAATTTAGTTTAGATAATAAGGTTAATATATTTTGTATATATTTATTACGTTCTTTATGTAATACTTCTGTTTACTGCGTTTTAGATATAATTATATCATTATAGAACATTATTTTACATCATTTAATTATGATTTATAATATGATATTAATTTTAAAATGTACTTGATGACTCATCCAACGCCACTATTGAACAAATTCGTACCTATACTTAGTACCCATACTTCAGAATATTTGTCATAACTTTTGATGGAATTAACCAATTTTAATGAAATAAAGACTAAATGTAACCTGAATATACACTTAATAATTTCCTTAACTATTCTTATGATATAAATTAGTACTTTATACGTGATACGTTAACAAACAAACAGACAGACAGATAGACAGACAGACAGAAAAATCTAAAAATGGTAGAAATGTATTTAATTACTTATTTTTAGTACCTCTCAATCACTTTTATTACAAAAATATAAAATGTACAGACATCTGTTATTTACATTTTTATTATATGTATAGATAAAACGTATAAGGCATTCTTTAATACTAATGTAAGATTTTTTAAATCACCTTCTATTCGAAGACGCTATGTAAAATAATAATATAATTTCTGTCACGGACTGGTTTTTAATAATCATTACAAATAGAATTTCGCAATGAAATATTATATATTTGAGCAAGAAATGTAAATACAAAAAAATAATGGGTCGTAAAAATGTGAAGTTGTATAATTTGTGCACGTTACATAATCGTTTATAAAAAAAAAAAACTAAATCTTAATGATTTCTTATATTTACGCGAACACTACACATTGAATAAAACTAGTTTTTAAGGATTTTATCGCGTTAAATTAACTTATCTTAACAGTTTGTGATCATATCCTAGACGGCCCCCGCCATTACATTAGATTTGATAAACCACAAATTCTCGCGAAAGAACATCGATTCCTGCCACGTATGATACGTAAGGCTATTGAAATTAAAAAACATCCTAATTTCAATAGAGAGAGAGACTGGGTACTACCACCTGCTTGGGATCCTATAATTCATAAAATTAAAACTAAACCCAAGCATACCACTGCAAGACTTCAAGACACAGTAAGTTCATTCTGCGTAGATTGGATCAATATTAATAAACCTAGCAAGCTAACAGCATAGCAAAGTGGCGAAGCAATCAGCTTTGTAGCGGTTTCTAACGGTTGCCGTTGAGCAATCAGTTTCAAAATAGGAGGTTCAGATGCCTGGGTGATCAGTAATCGATTGCTGAAAACAGAATTTGAAAATTCAAAACCATTCTCGAGATAATCGTGGGACAGACGGACAGACGGACAGACGGACAGACGGACAGACGGACAGATGGACAGACGGACAGACGGACAGACGGACAGACATCGTAAAATCAATAAGTGACTTCGCAAGCTTCGCCACTTAATAATTAAAAAGCTGTAGGTACTCCGGGTTAACTCTGACATCGGGACGTCAGTTAGGTACCTCAGTCCCCCGTGACCATGGTTGGTGGAAAGCAACCGAAACCTCGGGAATATAAAATAAGTTAATTAAACGCGATAAAATCCGTAAAAAGTAGTTTTATTCAACTAAATCTTAACTGTAATAATCTCCTCCAGACCGAATTTCGGTCACGGCGGTCAGTCTGTAGTAACCGTTTGTACGCGCAAGCACAAGTGCACTCTCTATTCCCTCACTCTCATAGTCATATGGGACGAAAACCGATAGAGAAAGAGAGAGAGAGAAAGATCAAGCGCAGGACCAACAGTATTACGTACTTTCCGAAGCACCGCACTGGTGACTCCGGTTGTTACTGAGAATTTCTTGACAGAAGACTGATTTTGGCCCGACCCGGGATTTAAACCCGGGACCACAAGATCAACAGACGCGTTTTAAACGAGGCAGTCAAATCGTAATTTTATTTTATAGATCTTAATATGTTGAAAAAAAAATGTTACATACTCTGTCTTAGTGATGAGTTACGTAACGAAAAGAAGAACTTACAATAGGTCAAAGAGGCATTCAATCTTAGTCCTCACGGGTGACGACGCATCTACATTTTGATTCTTTATTGAGGATAGATGTAGATGTCTATGGGTCACAGCAACCACTTACCATCAGGTGGACTGTGTGCTCGTTTGTCACCCTATCCTATATAAAAAAGGTCATTAAATGGAAAGTTGATTTTAAAGAAGTAGGTGACAATCGAGCACAGAGCCCACGTTTTTTCTTTTGATTATATCTTAAGCTTAAAGCGGTAATCTGTTTGGGGGAGAAGCAATATCTTATCTCCAGAGCTATCACAATTCTTTTAAGGTATAGTTTCAGATGTCTCAGAATGTGAGTCATCTTAAATTATGTAAACTTTTTACTGACTACACTTATGAAATTCTGTACGTTAATATTTATAAAATGACGCCCCTTTGTCGAGAATTTAGTCGATTATGCAAACTCGTTTTATAAAGTTTAGTTTCGATCCGGTTATGAATTAGACGTTGTATGATCTTGACCTCTAAAAGTAATGACCTCGATCAATTAAGGATAACTAACACTGCTGTGTTTCGTATGGTGAGTGTAGAGAACTGGAGACCCTTTTTACTGGAAAAGAGGCATTCCATCTTAGTCCTCACGACGACGCATCTCCATTTTAATTCTTTATTGAAGATAAATGTAGATGTCTATGGGTCACAGCAACCACTTACCATCAGGTGGACTGTGTGCTCGTTTGTCACGCTATCGTATAAAAAAAGTTAATATTATTATTCATTATTTTATAGTCATTATTTATAAGACAGTAATTATTTTACATTTAGGTTAGTTATAGCATCGCATTGGTTAATATAATTAATGATGTTATAATTATGTCATAAATAACTAAATAAATGACAATTAAACTGAAATATTCTCATAAAATTTATCTATCAATCAACCGTAGATCAAAATGCAAAAAATTGGTTTCCTCCATCTAATTCCAGTCTGAATAATTTAATGGATTTTTATGGAGCGTATCTAACCCGTTGTTTAATACATTTTAATGAACTTTGAACTATTTGTTCCCAGGTGCTGTATGTATCAGCCGCACCGAACCCTATCTCCAACGTGCTGAAACTTGACTTGGATCCTGATGAAGCCCAGAACTATATTAACAACCCGCCTTACACCGAGCCTCAGCTGGTTGGACGCAAGGCTGTTTTACCTCTGGTTTGTGGTTTTAATAATATGTTTATTTACTCATATATGTAGGTGTGTAGTCGCGTATGTAAGTGTGTACGTGTTTTTAAATTTGTAAACTTAGATTCTTAATAACACAGCACTTTTATGCGCCAATACTTAGCGATCAGTGCATTATAGGAATTCACATCAAGTAGTCGTTGTTTTATCACACTAACATCAATATATCATATCAATTATCATATCCTAGCAACTCTTATATGATCATATATCATCTATCAATAAGTATGGGTAAATTCACCCAAGAGTAGGTTAGGGAAAATATAATAACAAAGGCACATAATAATTATAACTTATGGTTTTTATTGTTCGATTGCATTCATTTTTGTGTATTGGGGTTTTAAGTTCAATAACGTTAAATTTCTCGCCAAAAGAAGTGAGAAAAGCATGGAGTCTACGTTCAGCGTTCTCTACTCATGAAGTCGAAAGCGAGAACAGTTAGTAGTATTAAAGAGACAGGTCGTTGAGAACTAAATGGGTGATTTTCGTGGGCACTAGCTCGTTACAGCCTATAAAAGTCCACTTCTGAACAATAGGCCTTCCACATAGATTCGCTCATATGTGATTTTGCCACAGTTACCACTCCTAGCAGGCGGGTTGACAACCACAGTTTTTTTTAATAATTTTGAGTTTGTTATCAGGAGTTTCCCTTTGACGCCGCCTACGACGCCCACGGGACGATATAGGGTAGTGGATATTCTTACAGCGCCACTACGGTCAAGGTCAAGGTCAAAGCAAGTGTGACGATTAAGGCAAATTCTTTCTACAACGGCTCTTCCACCCGTTACCAGTAGTAAAATTTTACGGGCTTATAAAGGAGAAGAACAAGAAGAAATAGCTAATAACGAGACTAATTAATAAATATTTTATTTTTCAGATCAGGTTTGACGACCCTAGGTTTCGCTCTGTTGAAGCAGGCCCGACCCTTGGTCATTACTGGAGGAATGGAGAGGAGATCACGAACCCAGAAGATTACGTCGAAGAGGTATAATATATCCTAACAGACAATTTTTTATGTTTTGAACTTTATTTTGTATATCGTCTTTGACTTGGTGGAAGTGGTTTTTGTCCAAGTGTAACGGAATTACGATACGTTGATGAAATGTAGAATAAATACTTTGAGTAACCGTTACAATAAACTCGGTAGTACAATAGTTAAGAGTTTGGCTGCGGGTCCCTGGTTCGAATTACGCACGGGTTATATGTAATTCTACAGTAACTTTTCTGGGCGTGCAACTTGTCGTGAACATTGGTCCCCATGTGCTACTTATGTATGCTAAACGATTCCACTATATAGCAGAAATTCTGAGTGTGGTGGTAATTGTTTACGAAACAAAAACATGATTATAATACTATTTGATTTTTTTTGATTGACTGTCTTATGAAACAACAAATGTGATCTATGATTATAACACTATCATAGATGTTTTTTTGATTGACTATCTCGTTGGTCTTGTGGTTGTAGTATGCGACTTCTGGTCATGAGGTACCGGGTTCTAATTCCGGTTTGGGCCATAAAACATCAGTTATTGAGATTTTCCATTAAGAAATTCTCAGTAGCTGCCCGGAGTCAGGAAGTTGGCGGTGTCTCACCCCCGTGCCTCGGAAAGCACTTAACGCTGTTAGTCCTGTGCCTGATCTCTCTCCGGTCGTGTCGGTTTACCATCCCATCGGACTATGAATCAGGACATCGGAAACTTTTTTTTACCCACCTCGCGGGGGCAAAGACGGGTTATGTCAGACTTGCACCGACTAAAACCCCATGGTGTTCCACCTTCGCCGCATATTGGCAGGGCCACGGGAACGCTTTCGCACACATCCGCGGCCCCACCAGCGCCGTCCACCCCATTCCCCTTCTTAGGCAAGGCGCACCAGGAACACAAGGCACGCCCCCCCTCCACGGTCTCCAACTCCAGGACATCGGAACCTATTAATTGCATTCAACGGGACGGTCGCTATTCTGTGCCTAATTATGCGCTATGTGCTATATTATATAAATGTACGTGACTTTAAGGTGGCCTAAGGGCCACCTCAGACGCACCTTAACCTACTGTAGCTGATATTACTAGATATATGCAATGTTGCATTATACCCATCGGCTCAATATCATTAAGGCCGTTAGTTGAACGGTTAGTAAAAAGGGTAATTAAGCTAGTATATGTAAACTATATTATGGTAGTTTATATAAGCTATATTGGTACGAATGGGACGGCTCGACCGGTGAAGGACCACGCTTTCACCAGACCAGCATAAAATAGCGGCTTAGTGCTGCTGTGCTTCGTATCGTGAGTGTAGAGAACCGGAGATCCTTATTACCGGAAACGACGCATTCCATCTTAGTCCTCAGGGGGGTTCGCAACGCATCTGTATTGTGATGCCTAATCGAGGATTGATGTAGATGTATATGGGCCACAGCATCCACTTATCATCAGGTGGACTGTGTGCTCGTTCGTTATATATATATATATATATAATTAGTAATTACGGATGTTATTTTATATCTACTTATTAAATATTAACTAAGTGTGAATTACGATTGTGTTGTTTGTGCAGATTATTTGTTTAATGTAGTTACCTCATAAACCGGTTTTGTTATTGAAGACGAACGCATCAATGTGCGCCTCTGTCTCGTCCGTTAATAATTTTACTTGTACTTGTTTTTTTTTAATTTGCATTACATCCTCTTTCATAAACCAGAGAAAAAAATAGACGTAGTCATTTTTATATAAATAGAGTTACTCGTACTGCTTATATACGTCCTAATCCAGGGCTAATTTTAAACGTGGTGGGGCCACGCTGCAGCTATATTATGGTTGTAGCACGAATGTGTTGGCTCGACTGGATAATGAGCACACACTCACAGAATACCGGCATAAAATGGCTGTTTCATTCTGCTGTGTTTCGTATGGTGAGTTTAGTGAACGAAAGACCCTTTTAACTGGAAATGCGGCACTTCATCTTAGTTCTCAGGAGTGGCAACGCGTCTACATTTTGATTCTTATTCGGGGATATTTGCAGATGTGTATGGGTATCAGCATCCACTCACCATCAGGTGGACTGTGTGCTCGTTTGTTACTCTTATTGTATAAAATAAATTACCACGAGCCCTTCTTGTCCAAGTAATGTTAATATTTAAAAAAAATGTTAAAAGCAATGTTAGTATTTAAAAACAATATTTGCATGTAGGACTGCTATCCGTTAGCCGGCAGTGCTTTGTTTATAATATTAAAGCATTTCTTTTTTTTTCCAGATATATGACGCTTCCCAATACCACGGTCAGGACGGTCGAGGTGCATACGCCTACGGATACGAGACCCCGGAATCCGCAAAAGTAGAGGACCGCGCAGGATCCGGCAAAGTCAAGGGATCATACACCTACAAGAGTGGCAACGATATCATTAAGGTAAATCATTTTTGTTTAAGATTTTTATGTATTTTGTACTTTAAATTTACATTCCCCTGTAGTTATTTGATATATCCAAAAAATTATAACTTTTAGCAAAAAGTAAAAACCGACTTCAAATTGCTAAAACAGAAGTTATTTATTTGCTACTCTTAGGTGTGCTCCAAATTTATATGGGACCACCTTAGAAATACTTCTAATTTTAACTTGATACTTTTATTAGGTTATACACCTATTTACTAATAAAAGTATCAAGTCAAAATTGTTTCACAATCTGAGAAGATATCGCGTAACATACATACAAAACATACACTCGAATTGAGAACCTCCTCCTTTTTGAAATCGGTTAAAAAGACATCTGCGCATAGTAAGCAATCACTCTGCAGTTATATCGATTGAAGAAGAACCACGCTGCATAAAAATACCATCATAAAATAGAATTAGCATTAGTACTGTTTCGTAGGGTAAGTGATGAGATATGGAGACCTTTTGTACTGGTAACGAGGCAGTCCATATTAATCTTTAGGGGTAATTGACTTTGGACTTGGACTGGATGAGTATTACGGCGCTCAGAACTGGGTTGGAATCCCTAGCAGGCCAAATCTTTGTAATTTTTATAGAATAGGATGAAAAACGAGCACACCGTCTACCTGATGGTAAGTGGTTGCGTGGCTCATAGACATCTACATCTATCCTCAATAAAGAAACGAAAAGCAGATGCGTTGTCAGCCGTGAGGACTAAGACAGAATGCCTCTTTTCCAGTAAAAAGGGTCTCCTGTTCTCTACACTCATCATACGAAACACAGCAGCTTTAAGCTGCTATTTTACGCTGGTATTCTGTGAGAGCGTGGTCCTTCCCCGGTAGAGTCGACCCGTACGTACTACAACTATATAGGTACTACTAATGTAGCTGCAGCATGGCTCTACCACGTATAAATATGTATGGTCAACAAATAATTGTTCTGGGTCTGGTCTATGTTTGAAAATCCTATCAATAGGATAAAAAAACGTCACTTTTTGAAATAATAATAGCAGCCACTTACCATCAGTCGGACTGTGTGATCGTTAGTGGATTTAATGGGTGGTAAAAATTTAAAGGTAAAAATTTAATTAATATTAAAGTATACGTGTTAACACAGAGAGATACTCGATGAATCCCTAGCAATGAGATCGGGTACAAGCTAGTGTCAAAAACAAGGCTAACAAATTTGCATGTCAAATTAAAATAATAAATTTTGCATTTGAAATTAAATTATGATTGTAGGTTACTTACTGGGCCGACAGCGAGGGCTTCCACCAAGAGGACAACCTTCCTAAAATCGAGCTGAAACCTGCGGAAGAGACAGAGGAAGTTCGCGCGGCGCGTCTCGCCCACGAGAAGGCTTGGCAGGAGGCACGCGCCGCCGCGCTGCTGTCACCGCAGCCCCAGTACGTAGACACACCCACACATACACACACGTACACACACACACACACACACACACACACACACACACACACGCACGCACACATTCATCACATAAACGCATGCACACATGTATAGTTCATTAGTCTTCAAGATAGTGTAAGCTTTCTGCGTAGATCAGCCCAAAAATTTATAATTTAAATTTGAAAATTAGTTTTTGTTAACTATGACATCAGGACGTCAAACACTTCAGTCCTTCGCCGTGACCATGGGTAGTGTTAAGTCAGTGGAGTAGCGTGCATTAGAGGGGCCTTGTATCAAAATTTGTCGGGGGGCCCAAATGAAGGGTAAAGATTTTTTACAAAAGGAGCAAAAACTCTCGCATTGAATTAAAATTGATTATAAGATATTACTTACAATTAATACTCCTAGGAATTAAGCTAGCCAAACAATTCAAACCAACATCCTGTCCCATAGAAGTCCTTAGAATTTTTGCTTACATACGTTCGGGGCCCCTGTAGCCCAGGGGCCCCGTATCATTGATACGGCTAATACGGCGGTAGCTACGCCCCTGTGTAAAGTGCTCGAAACGTCGTGAATTAAAAAAGTTAAAATTAAACCGTGATGGAATCCGTAAAAACAATTTTTATGCCATATTTGCCAAACTACCATAATTAAACGCCGTTACGTCAGACTTACGGTTGACAATATTTAGCATTACCATAAAAGCCTATTAAAAGTCAACTGCTGAACATAGACCTTCCTCAAAACTCAAAGCGGGATGGCAACCGCAGTTTTTTTCTAGTGTTTTAATTGATTTTAGGAAGACGCTGCACAAGAGAGGGCATCTCTTGGTCTTTTTCCCTCTGTTGCCTCTTATAACAACCACCGGATGATATGGGGTAGTGGATATACCGGCACTTAACTATGGCCACTATACGCCACAATAAAACTGAATACATTGTAGTTACGTTTTATTTCCTAAATATTCCCACACATTTTATTGTAAGCTTCTTCACAAACAATGTGCTTGAAGTAGACATACAAGTATAGCCGGCTTGGTGAAATTCCGGTGTTTATTTAAAATCCGGGCGGAGTCCGGTCTTGGCTCTTAAAATTTAGTCATGATTGGTCTCTCCGGTTAGGTAGTAACCCTAGCTGCGGGCGGCTGAACTACGATGCCAAGTGACCTTCAAAAATATATCTACAATTCCAGGGGTGAATACGAGCCATCCGCATCCGAGCAGCAAGATTCCGTTGTGGCCGCGCCGTCAGAAGCACAGTCGCGCGAGGGCAAAGCGTTGCCGGCTTACGGACAGCAGTCCTACCCACAACAGTCCTACCCACAGCCATCCTCCACGACGACCACAGAAGAACCTGAGCCTACTGTAAGTCTATTTATTTATTTAATCTTTATTAAATTCCTTGTCACATAAAATACCAAGGGCAGACTTAATGCCTCGAGTAATTCTCTACCGGTCAACCCATGGAGTGGTGAGAATTTGACGTAAGTGTGCACGAAGGTGAAACACCTACCTTTGCTGACTCCGGGTTGCCACTGATAATTTAATAATCAGTTGACCCGGGATTCGAATCCTGTCATATGTGGACGAACGAGGCTGTAAAAACATATAGAAATCTTTCTTCACAGCCTCGTTCTGTAAATTGAATTCGCGGTCTACATTGTATTCTATCTCATTCTCTCGCAAGCTATATCCTATAGATGTATATGCTTGTCTTTTTAGTGTCGCTTTTATCGTTTCATCGAGTTTCACAACGATTCTAAAGAAGTTTTCTCTTCACTTAACAAAACTTAACAAAATACATAAAAGAAATATATGAACTGCAGTAACAATAATTGGTAAATTTAAAAAAATGTACAAACGACTTTAATATAAACTATTAAGGATAACTCAAAAACTACTGGCCAGACCTTGTTCAAATTTATATGACCACATGAGAAGTAGATTTCAAATAAAAAAAAAAAACATCGCAGTCGGTTCACCAAGAAAAATGTTATGAGGTAACACATAAAAAAAGAACACACAGTCGAATTAAGTACCTCCTCGTTTTTGAAATCTATAGAAAAAAGGCTACCATCTCAGCATTATTCTACAGTACTTTTTTTTAAAATACTAGTAATGCTATTAAACATTACTAATATTCCCTTTAACCACTTATGGTTACCTTAAAATGTTAGTGTTAGAAGTTATTCACGACAGCAGTCGAATGGCGGATTCGAACCCACGACCTTTTGAGTTTGCGCTCCGCGCCTTGCCATTAGGCTACTGATGCTTCCTTCAATCAATTCAACTTTATTCTGTGACGGTACGTAACAGAGTTACCGCAGCGCTGATATTCTGTCAAAGCCACATAAGTCGATTCGCGAGCAATCACTGATTGAATTGAATTGAATTTTAATTGATACACTGTACAAAATGAACATTGAATTTTTCTTTTCAGGGTCCCCCACGTGGTTTCTTCTACAGCTTCACATACCCGGTCTCCATCATAGTTCCCAAGGACAGCGCACAACCTGAACAGAACTACAACCAGGACTTCAGACGCGCATAAATTTGTTAACATTTGGACTAATACCTATGACAAATTGAAAGTACAATGAAAGTGATAAATAAAACACTATTGTTTTAAGTCTGTATTATTAAAAAAAAAATAAGGTGGGGAGAGACATTGCCTAACTTGAATTTTGATTTATCCGTTGCGACATTTATATGTACTTACAAAAGTTTGAACATGACATATATTTGCACTAGTTTTTTTCCGGACCGATACGACTTAGGAACCTTCAAGAAAAGAGCCTACCCCTTTTTAAAAGGCCGGCAACGCATCTGCGATTCCCCTGGTTCCCCTGGTGTTGCAGTTGTTCATGGGCGGCGGTAGTAACTTACCATCAGGTGAGCCGCATGCTCATTTGCCCCCTCTCCTATAAAAAAAAAGTTTAATGAATAAGCGTTTGTCCTTATTCAAGAGCTATATTGACCACAAAGTAATTTCCAAGTATTTTATTTTTAATTCTACGTATGTGTCACTTCAGAGAATGGCCAATAAGTTTAGTAGTTACGTGTTTGAGTAAAAATATCGAAACATCTTAACAGACAATCACATTTATAGAATTAGTATTGTAATGCAATTTTTTTAAGTGATACGAGTAATAAATATTGAATTACTAACACCAATTTACATTTAATTACAGCTTGGTATGCAATGTCTAGTTTCACCTTTTAATTTCTAGTGTTTATATTTCTACATGTGTAATTATAGTAATATCTAAAAGTAAGATTTTGCAAACATCTCTATTAGTGATTTTTTTTTCAAAGACCCGTTGATTGGAACGAGAAGTGAATGGAGCGAAAAGTTCGCAAATCGTCCGAATTTTTTATGTGATACGTTTCGTTTAAGTAGCGAACATAAGGTTAGGTTACAACGGTCAGGATCAGGGTCGATCGATTTCTAACTGTAGCGTCGACAAAATAGGATTACTGCGTTGCCATTTTTGTTGCAAGTAGGTTAAGTGAGCTATTATTGACTCTACAATTGAAGTGAATATATTAAATCAATAAATAAACCTAATTACAATTGATCGTTTTATTTTTCTATACTGCACATGAGAGCAGTGATGATGGATGACGCTCTTAATGGAGAGCTCATACAGAGAACTAAACCCCTATTAGTGTTGGAGTACTAACATAGTCATTAAGTTTTTATGGATACTAACACCTATACACCCTTATGTTGTCTAAACCGTTTAAATGAATAAAATAAACAAAAAAAATTACGCTCTTTGGCCGTTGTTTCTCGTCATTGGCTTGTGTATTTTATATCTGGTATAAATAAGAGATGTATTTTTTTTACTTGTTTAAAAACGTCACACTAAGATTTTTCTCTTGTATCGTGGAGGCAGTTTACAAACAGAAATTGCACAACGACACGCAAATACATGTTCCGTGCGGGAATTGAACCCGCAACCCCCAGTGCTACAAATCATTGCGCCACGGAGCCATCATACGAGTATATACCGCCATTTAGCGTAAACTATAATATCTAGGTTTCTTCCTCATTTGCATCTCACATCCATGGGATGATTGCCCATGTGACGCAACCACAATGTCGGGGAACAAAAAACGTGTTTTTTTTAAATAAATTATTTTAAAAGGTAATTGAATAAAAGTTAATCTTTGAATAAAACTTCTGTTGCGGATTGTAAGGTATTCAATTTAACTTATTTTTAATTCCCGATGTTTCGAGTGATTTGCAGCTCCAAAGTTTACGGGGGGACAGGTTAGACGTATCTGTGTCACAGATTATTCTGTGTAGTGTCCGCGTAAATATAAGAAATAATTATAAAAATGTTATATCATGTCTAATATCTTGGATTTCCTTTAGTAATCTCTAGTTATTGTATGGTTAGAAACGGATAGTCATTTTTCTTATGCCGTCGTCAATATTCTGATTGAAACAAATCAAAACATAACGCAAACAAATAACTAATCATTATTTCTCTATACACTTTTATTCACCTATACTTGTATCGGTAGCTGTATTGGTATTATTTGTGGACTAATCGGCATCATGATGATCGGCACGAAGCTGTTTTGTTTCTTCATTTGCAACTGCTGTAAAATTGACTTTAGTTTGGTCTCTTGAGAGAGATCCTGCATAGAACTCGAAGTGAAAGGCAGCCGTTGCCCAATAATCGAAATAATGCTTGAAATACCACTGGAAATGCCATTGTAAGCCCAGCCAATTGTATCCGGAACATTTATTTCTATCGGAAGGAACGGAATCGCTGAAACTATATCTCCAATTGATAGTCTCGCAAAGTTTGGTAATAGAACTGCAGCTCTCTGTGGTTCGATTTCGGATTCATTCGAATCAGCTTCGATTATTACAGAATCTAAATCTCCGTCGACTCTTTCTTTGTTTAAGTGTTGTTTAGACTTTGTTTCTTCATTTTTCGCGTGTTCAGCTTTCGTGTTAGTCTCGCCTTTTGGTAGGAGGATTAATACCGGAGGGAAGCTTCTGAAAATTAATAAAATATATTGATTAAAATTAAGTTACTTTTCAAGTACAGTAAAAGTCTACATATGTATATCAAAGATTTTGATTTATATTCCTAATATACTTTTAATTTCTAATGGTTCGTTCTTTCCCAATGTCATAGTTAACCACGGCTACCTCCAGATTAAAATTATTAATTTTTGTTCCAATCTACGCACTATGAAATTAAAATATCTTGAAGTTTTGCAGTTGTATGCTTGGGTTAGGATTTAATTTTATTAATTATAGGATCCCAAGCAGAAGGTAGCACCCAGCCATCTTTTCTATTGAAATTAGGATGTTTTTTGATTTCTATAGCCTCGTGAATAATCTTTGGAAGGAATCGGTGATTTTTATCGAGGAAGTTTGGTCTATCACATCTAATGTAGTGACGGGGGCGATCCTGTACGTGTTCACAGACTGCAGACTTCTCGGAGCGTCGATTCTTTACATCTGCTACTGCTGTGTCTTCTTTAATGCGGGTTTTATTGATCTTTTAGTTTATCCTATATAAGAGAGACAACATTCACAATCAAGCGTACACTTCTGCATCTTGCAGAGGGACATTACACTTAACTGATGGTAAAAAACTGACTAATCTCCTTCGGCGGCTTTAAGTATGTTTTAATGGGAGCACGTTTCAACAGGTATTCCTTCTCTTCTTTTTTCAGAATAAGACGAGACGGAAGAATCTTTACATTCTTTGTGAATCCATTGTTATTGCCTTGGAATAAAGTCTCATTTTATGTAATATTGAATGCGTTTGTAACATTTATTTATTGCGTTTGCAACCCGCATGCCGAGCATGGCATGGCAAATAACCCTACGAGGCAATCTATGGGGCCTATGTTCAGCATTGGATTCTAATAGGCTGTAACGGTTACAGTTATAGAACAAATATAAGTACGACTTGCTGCCCAATGCGTGTTCACATGTTATCGACATATTTAATTTCTCAGAGAGATTTCCTCACTATGTTTTCCTTCACCGTTGAGCACGTGGTAACTCAGTACTTAAAATTGCAATTAATAATTTAATTGTTGCCAACGAGATTCAAACCCGTGAGCATTACACGAGCGAGATTTATATCGAGCGCATTACCTATAATCAGTCAATATATGCACTCAGAAAAAAAGGGTGATTGGAGGTCTTTCTGGATCTTTGCACACGGCAGTGTTTTACATACTCACGTCTTAAAATAGCCACGGAATGATATAACAAGATATATATATCTATATCTTCCTATCTTCCTATATATATATATATATATATATATATATATATATATACTCAAGTTTACCGGTGGTTACCGGTTAATTACTAAACGAGACTACATCCCTAGCGGTGATATCATTTTATACTATATATACACCACTATCTCACAGCAATATAAGTACGCCGCTCTCGCACACTGTAGTAATATTTTTTTTGTTTATCTAGTTAGATACTGTTGATAAGCATAAATACGGGAAAATGGTTTAATGTTCGGAGTATCTATTTCGAATCCTAGCCGTAAAAAGTATTTGCTTCTTGTACGAGAACAACCGCAACACAAGCCCCGAAACCAACAACATTAGATATAGATGTCTATGGGCCACATCACCCACTTACCATCAGTTGGACTGTGTGCTCGTTTGTCAACATTATACTATATAAAAAAAAACAATTATTTATGCTTTGGATGAAGAGTTATTTGCTTATTTTCATTACATGCCCATGTTTTTATTTCTTTAAGATTGCGCTATTGATCTAATTTAATCTAGGAGAGTATCTTGAGAGTAAGATCTAATGTTCTTCTTTTTTTCGTTACAAAAATTGCCTTTCCTTTCCTTTTTTTTCGTTACAAAAATTGGTCAAATGTTTATCAATTCCTTTCGGCGTAAGAAACTTCGTCACTATATCGGTCTGTGGGTGTCGTAAGAGGCAACTTCAGGTTATGCCAAAAAAGATCTGGCCGTTTCCGATAGATGGCAGTAAACCATCTCTTTACTACAGGCGAAGAATACCCAGATCAACGTCGGAGGCAGCGTTACAGGTGCGAAACGTCTGCTTTATGTGATTGTGAATTTAAGCGAGCATGATGTGTAAGGCAAATCTTGTCTACAAGGCTCATGTATTTTTACGGGCTGACGATGATGACTGTCGATTCTTACATCTAATGGAAAACCGGAGTGGTAGAGCCACGCGGCAGCTTTTGCTGTCGCACGGATGGGCCGGCTCGAACCGGGGTGGTACCACGACCTCACAGAAAACCAGCGTGAAGTAGAGGTTTACCTCTGCGTTTCGCTTGGTGAGTGCAGGTGGCCGGAAGCCCTTTTTACTGGAAATGAGGCATTCCATCTTAGTCCTCACGGGTGACAACGCATCTACATATTGATTTGTAATAGAGGATAGATGTAGATGTCTATGGGCCGCAGCAACCACTTGCCATTAGGTGGACTGTGTGTTCGTTTGTCACCCTTATCCTATAAAAAAAAAGTAACCATCGAAAAATAATTTATTTGCAGTATTAAATTCACAATACTTGAGACATTTAGAACTTTAGAATATAATGGATATGGTCGTGGCGCTGCTGAGCCGTGGGTTCGATACCGCACGGAAGATAAAATTTGAAAGGCCTAAAAATAATTATTCTAGGTCTGGATGTTTGCCCATGTACAATTTAGGTACGTGGAACGAGCAATCGACCGCTTACCATCAGATGGACTATGTATCCATTTGTCAATTTATTCAATAAAAAAAAATGTATTTTAAACGCCTCCACAATACAGGAGAAAATCCAAGTGTGTATCGTTTTTTATAAAGATGAAAAGATACAATTTATGTCATCATCATCATCACCTCTACCGTCAAAATTCTATTGCTAAACGTATGTCGCAAAGCATAGTTGCACTGAATTTCTACAGTCTCATCAGGTCGTCACATTAAAGAAGCGTCAATCAAAAGTGTTTTTTTTATAGGATAAGGGTGACAAGCGAGCACACAGTCCACCTGATAGTAAGTGGCTGTGGCCCATAGACATTTACATCTATCTTCGTTTGCGAATAAAATACAGATGCGTTGTCAGCCGTGAGGACTAAGATGGAATGCCTCGTTTCCAGTAAAAAGGGTCTCCGGTTCTCTACACTCACTATACGAAACACAGCAACATTAAGCTGCTATTTTACGCTGGTATTCTGTAAGAGCGTGGTCCTTCCCCGTTCGAGCTGACCTATTCGTGCTACGACTATACTACTAATATAACTGCAGCATGACTCTACCTTAGTGGAATTATGATAAATATGTATACTATTGCAACATTTACATGTATAAAATTCATCTTCACGAGGATTATGGGACAGCATCTAAATCTTTATCAAGCTCAAGTCCTGGTCTTATTTATTAAATTTGGAAGATTCTCAGTTCTTGGTATTAACTGGCTGCCATTGATTCAGTAAAAGTAGATGTAATGACACTTCTAAATAATATTTTATTTTTGGAGTCTATGTTGCGCAGGACTGAACACAAGCGCAAAGTTCTCTCTCCGGTTCTCTACACTCACCATACGAAACACAGCAGTCTTAAGCAGCTATTTTACGCTGGTATTCTGTGAGAGCGTGGTCCTACGCCGGTCGAGCCGACCCATTCGTGCTACAACTGTACTATTAATATATGTAGCTGTAGCATGGTTCTACCAATTTAATCAATCAAGGCTGTCTTAATGCTTCTTTGAGCGCATCCTAACTAATTGGGCTATATCCGTTACTCTGATTCTAATGCGGATATCCTCATTTTATATTATATTATATTGCACGTTCTATCTATTCTATAATTATATGTGTAAATATATTTCATCTGATTTGAATCTTACACCGCAAAGTGATAGTGCTGAGTAAACCTTATGATCATCGTTATTTAGAATAAAAACGTTGTCGTTACATCCTATCAAAGTCCACTGCTGAACATAGGCCTTCCCCATAGATTGCCTCATAGTGGGTATATTTGCCAAAGTTGCCACGCTTGGCAAGCAGGGTGGCAACCACAGTTTAGCATATACTAGCTGCGTTACCTCAATGAATGTCTATACTATTAAACTTAAGGATGATTTTTTTTATCGTCAGGTAACATTTATTCATCAAATAAATAAAAACCTGACTCATTATAAAAGTCAAGCATACAAATTATTCTATTCACACAACAATAAATAATTATGTTTTTTTTTTAGATTGAACTATGACTTTTATCTGAAAATAATGAAAAATTAACCCTAATGAAATATGTTATTACACATACTTACAATTGACCGAAATTATTAGTATTTAATTGTTGAAAATTTTGCAGCTGTTGTAGTTCTAAAAGCTGTTGCTGCATTTGTTGAGAAGGCGCGGTCTTCTGATACGACGGATGCAAAACTTGCAGATGTAACGGAGCGGAGTACACTGCATTTAATTGAAAGAAACACACTAATATTATTTTAAAACACATTTTTATACTTTCTTTAATTTCTATTGATACTTATTTTTTTTAAAGTCTATCACAATATTGAGTCACGCGATGGAACCTATGTTTTAAAAAAATATAATTATGTTTAACTGTTTATTTTAAACAAAAATTATTTTTTGCGTTTCTCAGTGGATAGTAAGGCGGTCAAAACACGAATGTGCGGGAGTGATATGATGGCATGGCATCATTGTTATGCGTGATTGTCACCAGTGCAGTGGCCTACTGCCAGGACTTGACCTTGTCATTAGTTACTTTCTTTTTTGGGGTTATTTTACTACGACTCCTTTATAGGTATCCATTCATTCATTTATAAATTATGTAGTTTGAATTTCAATTGGACTTTCTTCGCTCCAGTAAAAATATCAAATAGCTTCTTATTAATGTTTTTGCTCAAAGTTGTTGACTAGTATGTTTATGGAAGAAGTGTTCGACTAGGTATATTTAACTTCGACTGAGAGGTCAATTGACGGATCCAACTCGGCTGGGCAAGGATCGATAGATTACGATACATTTTCGTTTCACGTATAGGTACCTCAAAACTTGAAATCAAGAGACTGAAAATGAGAAGATCTGATACGTTAATTGCTGGCCTTATGAGGAGGCTTAAGTTTGTTCAACGGGCTATGGAGAGGGATTTCGGAGTTTCTCCGTATGATCGACATTGAAAAGTGGATATCCACAGTAAAAATAGAGTAAGCACCAAAGTCCAACAGATTAGTAAGATGAAGTGGCATTGGGCCGGCCACTTATCTCGAAGAACTGATAACCAATGCGTAAGAAAGAAAGGTTCTCCAGTGGCAGTCTCATGTCAGTAAGTGATGACTAAGAGATGCTGGAAGTTGATGGATGCAGGTGGCTAAGAATCGTGTTTTATGACATTTCTTGGGCAAGGCAGAGTTTTGATTGCCTGTATTGATGGCCTGTAATGTTGCCGAAAATGATGGAGATGAAATTTTTTTAAGTAACTTAATTTAATACTGTCCTAAGAGACTAACTTATTTATTTTTTATTTATATATAATCTTTGAACCAGAACATGTGGACAAGTTCAATTCAATAGAAACAATTTATTGACGTCCTTCGGCTGGGCACTGGCCTCCTCTCATTTCTTTAGTAAAGCTTAGTATGTAAAATTGATACAGTAGGCAGCGCTGCGTTTGTTGTATTTTTGTAGTCTCATACAAACATTTTTTAAAAAATTTTAGACATAAAAACGTAAGTCCGATTACTACTCATAAAAATACTCTGCAAATCGCCACATACGATACGTGTTTCGGCTCTAAATGGCTAATTGAGAAATATATATATCCATACATATATATATATATATATATATATATATATATATATATATATATATATATATATATGTATATATATAATATCATCATCATCATCATCATTACAGCCCTTCACAAGTCCACTGCTGAACATAGGCCTCTCCCAAGCAATGCCACAAAGCACGGTCCTGAGCCACCTGCATCCATCGACTTCCTGCATATCTTACCAGGTGGTCACTCCATCTAGTGGGGGGACGTCCAACACTTCGCCTGCCGGTACGAGGCTGCCACTCGAGAACCTTTCTTCCCCATCGGTTGTCGGTTCTTCGAGCTATATGGCCGGCCCATTGCCACTTCAGCTTACTAATCCTTTGGGCTATGTCGGTCACTCTGGTGCTACTGCAGACTCCGAGCATATTCTTATATATATATATATATATATATATATATATATATATATAAGAATATGCTCGGAGTTTCTCTGCGTGATAAACTTAGATATGAGGATATCCGCAGTAGAACCAGAGTGACCGACATAGCCCAACGGATTAGTAGAGTAGTAACAGACGTTGTTCTGCCCTCTCCGACGACCTTTTGTCCTATAAAATATCCTTAAAGTCGTGATAAAAAATTTTGAGGGCCATTTATCGGGATAAAAACTATCCTATCTCTGAAATTGGACCAAAATGCACACAGTGTGCAAAATTTCATTGAAATCAGTTCAGTAGTTTAGGAATCCATCGCTGACAAACAACGTGACACGTAATTTTTATATATAAAGATATACTAGATATAGAGTCCGATTGCTAACCGCTAAAATCTTAATATCTAAAATCTAAGATACGTAATAACTCGTATCATTAACGGTGGCGTGTTTTTCATATTGTAGTGGTGGGTTCAGTGGTGTTAGATAGAGCACGAAATTGTGGAAGGGAGGAGAGGTGTTCTTAGAACTAGGAAATATACACTACTTTATTTATCATGCGAATCTAAGATGCGAATGTTATATTATCACATCTTAAATTCAACTTTAGACTTTTTTTCACGAAATAAAGTCTCCTAAAGTAGTTGTTTTTTTTTAAATTTACCACTAGCCGGAATTAGAATAAGAAAGCAGTGACTGAGTACACATATATTCTTACAATTATAGGTATGTTATTGTCAGTGAACCAACATAATTACTACATAATCATACCTAGCAATGATAAGAAAGGAATGTAGCGCCCACATCAACTGAACATTAATTATCAACCATGTAATTATTATTTAAACACTTGTCCCATATTGTTTCTAGACCTAAAAAAAATTACTGATAGTAGGTACTCCTCAACATATATGGATATCGTTAAAGAGTTTAAGCATTACAGTCCTGTTTTTTTAATTAAACTGAAGTGATAAGTGATTTTTTTAAAGCATACGGTGTCAAACGATCACACAGTTCACCTGATGGTAAATGTTTGCCGTGGCCCATAGACATCTAAATTTATCCTCGTTTGCGAATCAGAATGCAGATGCGTTGTCACCCGTGAGGACTAAGATGGAATGCCTCTTTTCCAGTAAAAATTGTCTCCGGTTCTCTACACTCACCATACGAAACACAGCAGTGTTAAGCTGCAATTTTACGCTGGTATTCTGTGAGAGCGTGATCTTTCCCCGGTCGAGCCGACCCATTCGTGTTACAACTATACTACTAATTTAGCTGCAGCACGGCTCGACCACATTATGTGATCCACCTGAGTGTAATTCATTGACATCTGCAGCCATCTTCAAACAAAAAAGTCTTCTCACGAGATATATATATATACTATATATATATCTCGTGAGACTCTTTTTCACGAAATAAAGTCTCCTAGAGTGGTTTTTTTTTTTAATTTATCACTAGCTGGAATTAGAATAAGAAACATGTGACTGAGTACACATATATTCTTACAATTATAGGTACGTTATTGTCAGTGAACCAACATAATTACTACATAATCATACCTAGCAATGATAAGAAAGGAATGTAGCGCCCACATGAACTGAACATTAATTATCAACCATGTAATTATTATTTAAACACTTGTCCCATATTGCTTCTAGACCTAAAAAAAAAGTTACTGATAGTAGGTACTCCTCAAAATATATGGATATCGTTAAAGAGTTTAAGCATTACAATCCTGTTTTTTTTTATTAAACTGAAGTGATAAGTGATTTTTTTTAAAGCATACGGTGTCAAACGATCACACAGTTCACCTGATGGTAAGTGGTTGCTGTGGCCCATAGACATCTACATTTATCCTCGTTTGCGAATCAAAATGCAGATGCGTTGTCACCCGTGAGGACTAAGATGGAATGCCTCTTTTCCAGTAAAAATTGTCTCCGGTTCTCTACACTCACCATACGAAACACAGCAGTGTTAAGCTGCAATTTTACGCTGGTATTCTGTGAGAGCGTGATCTTTCCCCGGTCGAGCCGACCCATTCGTGTACATACCCACAACCATACTACTAATTTAGCTGCAGCACGGCTCGACCACGTTATGTGATCCACCTGAGTGTAATTGATTGACATCTGCAACCATCTTCAAACAAAAAAGTCTATAGGTGCATCGTCACGAGTCGCTCGTGTCCGTAGGATTCGACCACCTAACTAGGCCCACCCTACACTTGTCCCCCGGGTTGTGCTAAACGAGCGACAAAGCCGAAAGGACAGACTCGGCTTCTCGCTGTATGGTATCGGCGTAAAATCTACCACCCCTTAGTTCACACCATGAGCCAGCAAATAAAAGAAATAGCCCCGAGTTCCCTTTAATGGGGCAGGGGTGCGAAGAAAACCGGCGATGAGGTTCGCCACCCATCACGCCCTGTCACCCGGAGAAGTAAGTTCGTGTGTTCGAAAACATAAATCACTGAAAGATCTTCGCCGGTTGACTAACAATCTACAATCACGGAATTTATTCCTCAAAGACCACCATATTTGACCACAGCAAAGCGTGTTCGAGAAAGTTAGTATTTCATGTCTTTTCAAATACAACGTTACGCTGATAATCTACGGAACATGCATACCCCGGCTTAGAAAAGCAGTTTCAAGAAACTGGTCTTGAGGTTAACACAAACAAGATCAAATACCTCAAAATATCCTGGGACTCGAACGAGTTCCGCAAGAGTATAACAAAGAAAATAATTTATTCATGGCGCAACATGCAGCACAAAGGTACCTACCGCGGTGGAATAAAAAGTTTTCAACAAGTTAAAAAAAACAGGAATAATATTGATCGAAACGACGGATAAATCAAATAAAAACACACAGTTTTTGGCGGGAACTTGACCGGCGGCGGTTTGCTGCTCCTGTATTATTGTTTGAATAATCGTTTCAAGTGGACTTTGATATGTAAAAGTGGTGCGATTTGGTGTATTAAGTGTCTGCGCATGTGAACTATTAGTGGAAACTGTGAAACAAGTGCTCTGATGGTGATGTGATTCTCAAAATAAGGTGTCTGTCTGCTTAGGCGCCTTGAGATACCATCGCCAACCGTCAGCTGTCTGCTGGCTCAAGTTGTGGCTGCATAATGTGACGCATCAACATATTGTGAAGCAGTATACTATGAAGGATAATTCTTATAATATATTGTAACTTCAGGCTCAGAAGGGCTAGATCGCGGAGCCGTAAAGCCAGTTATTAAGAAGAACAACATACACACATTCATCATCATTCATTATCA